CGTTTTATACTCTACAACAATATAGGTACTGGAGTTCAAAGTTTTTGATAGCAACTTTTTTTTTTTTTTTTTTCAATAGTGTGGTGTACACAACGTGCCATGATCTTGTTTGAAAATCATTATTTTGGTTTATCTCAGGCTGTTGAATGAATATTGAAGATGGTAAAAAATTCATGGTATTGGCATTGATATTTTTATTATCATACAGTAATAGTCGATATTTTTAAGATAGGAGACAAATGGCTGATTAACTTCATTAAAAGTTGGATAGTGTTGCTTTAGAGTTTTTTTTTTTTGTTGTTTTTGTTGCATATATTGTTGCACACTTATTTTCAGCAATTCAATTGTTACATTAATACGGCTCACTTTTTGGGTACCACAGGCTTCGGAGGATCCGTAAGACATTTTCCGCTACACCGGCATCTGGGACCATTATCACATGTTGGACAGCCATCTGTAAATTGTATTAAATCCATAAAAGTTTTGCTGCGAGGAATTTTTCGTTAGATTTTAAACGATAACGAGGAGGTGCAATAAACCATATCGGTTTGTTGCCTCTAAAAAAAAAAAAAGAAAACTTCTGTCTTCAATTGATTATTTTTTAAATATAATAAAAATTTATACAGTTGATACTGAAAACATGTACTTTTGCAATAATTGCAACAAAAATCGTTAAGAATTCTCAAGTTGGGCATGCTGTGGCAAAATTGTTTGCATTACAGCTTTCTTTAAATGTATTTTCCGACTTATGTCTACTTATAACATTGTTCGTAATTTAATTGACATTGATAAATCGTTTACAAAAAATTATGGAGAAAACTTACCACCACAGAAAACGCAAAAGCCAGGCATTTTAACTTCCGTTGTCTCTCTTTCAAGTTGCAATACAATTTGTTACCTACACTGTGCAGTAATCAACTTTATACTGTATTATTACTTACCATCCGAACAGTTCGGTCAAGTCCTTATCTAATCTTTTTTTTTGTTATTTCTTATCGTAACTCATATTTTTTATTGGTTAATGACCAAAATTTTACGATTTATTTTTTAAGTCATAACTTTATTTTAAATTATTGCCTACAAAACACTGTAATTGTTTTGTCAATTCTAAGGGTAAAGGAACATCCAAATTGTCTAGTATTCGATTAACATACGTGATGTACCAGTAATAACATTTTCCTATCGCGTGTTGAAAAAATTACATTCATTTAGTTTCTGTCTTTTACATTACCTCAACATTGAATGCCTAAAATATTTTTTGACGTAAATTTTAACAAATACTTCAATAACTGGTGATTCTCGTATTTAGTAAAGAAAATCAAACGAGTAAAGCTTTTAGTTTCAATGACGGATTCTGATGTATAAATTTGATCATAATAATTATTGAAATTCAGTTAAAAAGAGGAAGAAAGAAAAAAAAAGAAAAAAATTATTTAATTCATGCAAATGATAAATTTTTAAAAATTAGTTTTAAATACTACTAAATACTAGAACGACTGTCGGTGAGATGCGAAACTGACGCATATTTGCCCAAATCGTTTGAAATGAAGCAATAATAACACTTGAGAAAAATTACAAAATAACATAAGTACAGGACCTCCGTGTAGGCGAAAAAAATGGCTCGGATCCGTTGAGAAATAGAAAGTAAAACGAAGCACGTCCAAATAGCCTATACTATATTATGTACTTTTATGTACCATTTAGTTTTCTTTTTTTTTCCCCCCGATAAAGTTTATCCGAGAGAAAGAAAGACTCGTCACTACATATCCACTACCCACGCAAAGAAAAGAAAAAAAAAAAGGTAAAAAATCACATCGTTAAATTACATAAAGTATCAACGAAGTTGCGTTGAGCGAGTGTCTCCGAGCGGCATCTCACATTTATTCACTTTCTGTGGGAACAGCGAGCGCGCGCGTCTATATAGACACAACAGATCGGAAGCCAGTTACCTTCCACTTACGCGTCGTATCTATCTATATACCTACACCATAGGCGTTGCGAAAAACTGCGCGAGCGTTAAGTATATATACCTACGTGTATGACCTCATGTCTACAGCCACTAAAACTAAATGTACACGTTTACGGTGTAGTCGTAGGGCCCTCGTTAAACGTAAAAAAAAAAAATTTTTTTTTAAAAAACAGAACAAGCAGTCAGCATGTACATGGGGACCTTTGGCATGAGCGAGCGACGAGTGTTGTATGTTAACTGCCTGAATTTTCTTCCGGAATAATCTTACCAATTTCTTGTCTTGTTTTTTTCTTTTCTAAACTACTTTCAGAGAAAATAATATAAAAAAAACGTCCAAAAATTATTTCTGCTGTCACGGCGAGCGTTTTAGTTCCATCATCGGGAGGAGGGTGAGGGGAAAAAAATTAATTACACACGTTACCCGAGCTACTTATGCGTGTTATTTGTAGTTACGACGTACCCTATGATTCAAGTCGGCGAACCCCGTATTTTCCAAACGATGGCTCGAACAAATGATCCAAATAAAAAATATACGCCAAAATGGCACTTTCCAAGCTTGCCCTCGTTTTCAAAATGTATGCCCATCAACATTACACCCCCGACACATCAATCGCGGGCCCTCCGTAGTAACATCTGCGGTCGAATTTATGGTACTTTTTTTGTTGTTTTGTTCTCCTCTCGCGTAAGAAGTGAGCCTGAGATAATGACTCGGCGCTCCCCGCGCGCACGTACGCGTACTTACAAGTGAACGGGAATTACGTAAAAAAAAAAAGCGCTGCCGGCTGCATCGGGGGCTCGGGGGAGGGGGTGTATATACCACATGAGTATGGAACCCATTGCACGGCTATACCTACGTGTTACCCGCGTATACGTGCGCTGCACGCGCGATACCATCGAAAGACACGGATGGGAACATTAGGAGCTGCTGAGAATGAAAAAAAAAAAAAAAAAAAAAATGATGCGTATACGTATCAGAGATACGCGTGAGTACGTATACAGGTGTATAGGCCACGCAGGAAAGGAAGCGCGTTACGCGTGTGTATACAAAGGACGAAAGGAGGAAGAGGCTTGTCTGAACGAGGAGGAGGAGGAAAAGGATTTATTTATCATTAGATCATTCGTCCACGGATCTCGGCGCTATATATATATACATACCCACCTGCAATTAAATTGTCGCGTTACGCGCCGCCTCGCGTTACTTTTCGTATCGACTGACACCCCCTGTTACATATACATACAAGCGTTGCGTGAAATGGGCCCTACTTTCCGAAACAATGGCCCGTTGGCTGCCTTATATACTGTTGTATAGTGTACGTGTTACGGCGCACATATATATAATATTGAGTTTCGTTTTGTCTTTTCTCCATCACCCATCTATTGGTGCATACAGATGAGACTCGGTGGAGTTATTTGTTCGCACTTTTAGTACTAGCCACGAAATTTTCATTTTTTTACCGCTGCTTTCGCTGAAAAGTTGTTTTTGCGAGTAAACGATGCGGTGTATGTACGAGTTTCCCCCGACCCCTTGAATTTCGTTTCGTATGCAATACAACGACACGCGTCACTTTTCTCTCTCCCGGACAATCGTTTTGCAAGTTGTATGAAAAACAAGTAAAGCCAAAAGATAGATACACGTGCTATGTATGAAAAAAATAATGGAGACTGAGGAGAAATTTTCACAGACGTGACAAATGCGCGCCACAATGCAAAACAGTCGTGGATGCATCTATTTATATATATATGTACGTTTTTCACCTCTTGTGTAGGCGTTTGCTATACCGCAGCCTCTTTCTCTCGCTCTCCGTTTTCATATACGCGCTTGTAGCGGAACGCACTTTTATATATGCGACGCATTGCGTAAAATTTCCCGGCAGCGCGAGAAAATTCGAACACGTAGCCGAATTTGTTTCAATTTATCTGTAACTCAATACCCAAATCGGAAATTAGCTCCGCGCGAGTATGAGTGATTTTCGTTTATATACATATATATTTAAGACGTCGTTTGGACTTTAATCGAATTTCGGGCTTTTATGAAATAAACCGCCAGTGAAAAGAGTCCTTACAGCGTGGTATACTTAAATGTATAGAATCGGACGACGTTGGGAGAAACGCGCCGCGTGAGAGACTGAAATACTAAAAGGAGCCGTAAAATTGTTATTTCCGTGGTTACAGAGCCGAGACAATCGCGATTGGCTTATCAGCGAAATTTTACGGTCTAATAAAAACTGTAATTAATCACCGAGTGTGTATTGTATACAATATATTGATCCGTTAAACAAGACTCGGTGAGATATAAATGCAACAAATTACAACCAAGTACCGGAGTGTTGCGACACGGACGGATCGTGTTTTGGATCGTGAGAGAAAGGATGTGCATATTATATATACATATATACCCTTAGTCGTGTCCAGTTGGAAAAGAAAAATCTGAGCTGTAAGTAAGAGGGACGAGTGTAGCCGATGCTGCCGTCGCTTTTGCAACGGAAAATCGAATTAGTCGGCAGTTGCAATTTTTTTCTTTCAGCCCTAACGACCCTCGTTTCTTCGCAAAACTATAATGTGTACCAATGAGGTGCTCCACTGATCCACTTGGTTGGGGCTTCCTCTAATGTTCACGCTTACGATTTGTGGTTGAAATGATCTTTGATAAAAAAAAAAAGGTTTTCGAGTAGACGATATACTACCTGATGGATGATTCTTCATTTTAACTTTATTTTCTATAATACACGTATATATATATATACTTGCAACAATCAACAACGAAATAATACTTACAAATACATGGCGGTTCAGCTGAGAAATTATTTACAAAAGTTTGCCAAGATACAACTATATATACCTATGGTATATGCGCACAGGTTTAAATAGTCCACATTTGTACACGATAAAACATACTCTCTGTGTTTCGAGTATCCATACGTACGATATTCTATACACTTTTTAGTCAAAGGGCGCTCATACTAACATTAATATGCATGTACATGTATTTACAATATCAACGAGTTAAGTAAACAAAAGCCTCTGAGTTAGTTCGATTCATCGTTAAAAAAAAGGGGGGGGGCTGTCAAATGCTTCATTCATTCGCTCATTCGGACGACTAGTCATTCCTTCGTAATAATAATGTACAGTCCGCGTGTCTCAAACTATATCCCCCTCAGACCTTGGTGGTGGCAAGGAGTTTGATGTAGTGAGCCTTGTGGGTGATTTCGAGCTGTTGGTGGGCAAACTGCGGTGGCGCCACCTTCTTGGCCCTGCCCAGCAGAGAGTAACAGCGCCCAAACCCGAGTACCCCCACGCCGAGCAGTAGCATCAACAGCAGCAGCACAAACAACAACGTAGCCGTCGTCGTAGTCGTCGTGGTCGTCGTTCGTGCATCCGACACCACTGGCTGCCTGACCGCCTGCACCTCGACGCACCTCGCCCGGCCGTTCCTCAGCGCGCTCTCCCCGTTGCTCATTAGGTTCGCGCACACCCTGTACCTGCCCGGCGCCAGTCCCGTCAGCGTCGTCCTCGTCGTAGCCCCGGAGCTGCTGCAGTTCACCCGCTTCCGGTGCACTTGGCCGCTCTGCGTCGCGAATACGTCCAGCTCGACGGCGCACTCCGCGCTCGGAGCCTCGTCCCCCGACAGCGCCACCTCCACCTACGTCGTGCAACATATGTGTGTTGTAAATAACAAACTAGATATACTAGAGCTACAACGCGGTCACTATATAGAGCTATACCGACCTGGAGTTGGCCGTCGGCGGAGAGGTTGACGTGGACGGCGGATATGCGGGGCTCGAGGAGGAGCCGGGGTTCGTTTTCCAGCTGAGCCACCAGGTGGACCGAGTCCTCGAGCTCGATCAAGTCGCTGCAGCCGTGGCCGGAGTGGTCGTCGTAGCCCCCGGGCAGCATGAGGACCACGCAGAAGCGGTACCGTCGGCCACTGCGGAGGAACGGGCTCGCGGGTAGGCTGACCGGGAGGGTGCAGGGCTGGGGCATGAGGCGCGAGTCGCAGTGGATGGGACTCGAGGATACCTGGACCTCCTCCTCCTCCTCTCCGGGGTCTGCTTCGTCGACGTCAGCTGGCTCGGTCGCCTCGTACACGGTCAGAGTGTCGCAGGTGTAGCGCCGCTGGGCGCACGAGTCGACGCGCCACAGCAGGTCCACGCCCGTCGCCTCGTCGTAGTGGAACTCCTGGATCATTTATTCATTTATCATCGAACGACCCAGTGTGTTTTTATTTGTGAATCCTCGTGGCACCTTGGCACACGGTACATCCGAGTGTGTTGAAGTACACGCTTAAAGCGTGTAGTTGAAATTTTTGTTTTTTATAAAATACACCGTGGTTTCGTGGATAAGACTTTTAAGAACAACCAAAGCCATGGTGCACCAAGTATTTCACCAGTTCTACTAAACTGAACACTTTTGAATGGGGTAAACTAATGTATGGAAGCTGTGGAGTGAAAAAACTTGGCTATCACAATTTTAACACGCTTACAAAATGTTTTACTCTCTACAACAGTCTTATGTCAATCGTTGAAGAAAAAAAAATTCTTTAGTTTAATAGTTACCGTAACATATTTGATAAAAAACAAAAATGTCGAGTAGACGCTTTATCCCTATATATTATTTCAATAAACTTGGATTAACATTGTAGGTACTCGGAGTGTAGATACGACACAGCATCAACAAAAAAAAAAATAATAAAAAAATATCTCGTAGGTAGAGGGTTCAACTGATATGCTGCACTTACAGCAAGGGAGAGTTGTCCGGAAGACCTGTTGGACGCGGGCGAGCGTTGGTGCAGCGGTGGTCGTCGACCGGGGGGATCGCCGCAGAGTAGACTGGTGGCCGGTAGCTCGGCCAACAGTGCGTTCTCGAGGGCAGGTGGTGTGGCGCATACCGCGGAGCGCCGGTCCGAGTCGGTGAGTTGGGTCGAGTTGGCCAGCCAGCTGGCAAAGTCAACCAGGCTGCAGTCGCAGTTGAGGGGGTTGTTGGCCAGCGAGAGGCTCCGCAGACGGAGCTTCGAGGTGGGCAAGTCGCTCGTCACCATCTGCGCGATAAATCAATATGGATGTACATGTTTCTCAGGCTGCTTTGTCGCTTCGACAGAGGTGAATTGGTAATGATCGTGGGAGGTGATGAGTACTATACGCACAGTGATGTCGTTGTCGTCGAGTTTTAGCGCTTCGAGACTACGCAGGGGCACGACCAGGTCGGCGCTCAGTGAGCGTAAGAAATTCTTCGACAGGTCGAGGCTGAGCAGCTTGTCCAGGTGGCCCAGCGATGCGCTCGAAACGGCTACGATGTCGTTGTACGCCTATATGTACGTAACAAACGAACAAACAATGTTACAGAGCCATTCAAATAATGGACATAAGAGACAGGTTTGGGGCTGGCATCGGGACGAGGATGGTTTTTTATCGTAGAGCTGACACATAAATTGAGATTTTATTCATCAAACCGATTCATCAGCTATGAGACTAAATAGAGATATTGTAATCATTGAGGTTCTTCTGGTCATAAAGTTAACTGCTACGTATGCACAAATCTCATTTGTAATTTTTTAATTCATAACATACCTAAAGAAATAAAACAAAGGCTTATTAATTTAAACCTAAATGATATATATTCAAAAAATTGGGATCACGCATTATGATGTTTTCAAAGATTTACGCGCAATTCTGATAAAATTGACTTAACGAGACTTGCTGACGTTGTATAAATGAACGATTGAAAACCCTTGAGAATCGAAGGACGAATCTTAATTTGAGTCTCTTTTATACTTAAAAGAGAATGCAACTTTGAAAATCCTGAGAAAAGACAAGCATTACTCTGTTTTCTGTGCTAACGTGTGGGCTACTTAAAACTTGTCTGCAACAGGAAGAAAATAAATAAAAAACGGTAAACTGTACCAGCTCGAGTCGCGTGAGCGTCGTCAGGTGGCGAAACGCGTGATCCGAAATGACGTCTATCTGAAAAGTGAGAAGAAATAAAACAGAAGCGTTAGGCGAGCGAAAAGTAAAAGTTTGGGTGTCCCTATATGTATATCGTTATGGTTTTACCTGATTGTGGCTCAAAACGAGGGTGGACAAGTTCTTGAGCCCAACGAGGGCGCCCTGCTGCACGCTCTTGAGCTCGTTCTCGGCGATGCTGAGAAAAGAGAGCCTCTGCATCGGCGGGAGAAAACCCGCACCCACGGGCCCGCTCAGCATGTTCACCGACACGTCCAATTCCTCGAGGCTCCTCAAGCCCCGGATCGCCGACAGCGTGGACACCCTCAACCGGTTGCCCCGCATCTTGAGCTATACAACCCCCGCGCACGTATGACACCCACATGCCACTCTTTTAAACATGTTGTTTTTTATATGTATTTATATGTATATAGGTTACCGATCTGAGCCCCGACAGCGAAGCAAACGCCTGGGGCGACAGCTGCGCCAGGAGGTTGTACGACAGGTCCAGGTAGTTCAGGTCCCCCATGCCTCGGAAGGAGGTGGCCTCGAGGGTCTCGAGCCTGTTGTGGGACAGGTCGAGCCTCTCCAGCCCAACGAGCCGGGATAGGGCGCTCGTGGGCACGGCCTCGAGTTGATTGTTGGGCAGCCCGAGAGCCCGAAGGGACCCGGAGAACGAGGCGAACGCGGCCTCGTGGACCCGGCGCAGCTCACCGGTGGACACGACCAGTCCATGGAGCGAGCCCTGCTTGTCCTCGAGGAAACTCGCCGGTAGGACCGAGACGCCCGAGAGCGTAACGTCGAGCAGTGATATCCGGGGTCCGGTTCGGCGTAGGTGGGCCCGCAGAGCTTGTAGGGCCTCGAGGAGGTTGCCGGTGCAGCGCAGGGCGTGGGCCAGCTCGCACGAGCACTCGAGGCTGCTGTCGTTGGCCGCGCTCGTTACGTTCGGGCACTCCCACGTCGTGGCCGCTGTGCTCGTCGTCGGGGCATGCTGGACCGTCCCCTCCTCGGCGTTGACCACGTAAGCCGAGGAGCTCGACGCAGCCGCCGCGGCCAGCGCCACGAGGACCAGCCGAAACGCCGCCTCCGACATGGTTCTGAAAGGTTTCAAGTGTTACGTTATTCTTTTTTTTTTTTTTTTTNACGTCCGGGAGTTTTACCATCTCCGGGCTCGCGAAGCGCCAGGTCGCGGGGGGTGCATAGGTGGGAGAAGCTGCTACTGTTTCGTGAGCGCGGTGAAGGTGAGCGCAATACCTATACATATATGTTATACTCACTTGCGTGCGCGTGTATGATATTTATATATATATATATTCTATCCGCTGCGTGGGAACGGTCGAGATTTTCACAGGACCTTGAGGCCCATTGGCTATATTATATATGTATAATAGCCGATCGGTCGTTGATTTCACCACCGCCTCGTTGTACAAAGCGCATATAATATATATACAAACGATTGCACCGATGACGTACAGGCGTGACGCCTATATGCACATGGCTTTTGACCCGCTCCTCTCCACACAATACCCACTTGTGAGTGTATACTTACCCTCCGATTTTACGTATATACATATAATACTATCAACACGCGTCTATACGTATAACGATGGACATATATTTGTAGCCTACATAATAATGTATATATGCACACGTAGCTATATACGTGTACGTGCATTTCTCTCGCTAATTACCAGAGGTTTCGGCGTGCTACCAGCGAAGGATTTTTCATTCCGGCTCATGTAGGTGTACGTGGTGTATAGGTACCGGCGATAATACACATCGCGGTGGATGAGAGAGGATTGATGCCTGAAATTAGCGCGGGATCGCGAAACTTCTTCTTCGCTCTCTCGACGTGTTCGGTATATACTATGTACCCGTGGGGGCTTTTTTTTTTTTTTTTTTAATTTCCCCCCCCCCCCCCCCC